CATTACTTATTAAATTAATTGATAACTTATAAACAAAATTAACCAATTACTGGATCAAATGAGAGCAAAAATGCAAAATCATATACTGATATACTCGTATGAGATGAAGAGTAGTGAATAAATGAGCTCACATATACTTATTTTATACTTGGCTAAACTATAGGAGAAAACTCGTTGGTAGGAATTTAAATTTATGAAGAAGAAAAAAAATCCAGAGTAATTGAGATTTATTGAGTAAACCTCTACTGCTTGAAACCTAGTCAATTTTGTTTATGCAATTCACGGATTAGAGTACGGTGAATCACTGAATTGGTATTTGTTAATAAATGACACTCCGTAATATAAAACAAATGAAAATATATTATTCCAAAATTGAGTAAAATACATGAACAGATTCGAACCGGAGTTTGCAAACTTGAGATGAGCAAGGCCGCTGGCCGCCCACTAGTGCAGCGCCCAGATTTCTCCAAGCTTCAGATGAGCAAGGCGGTCTGCGGCGTTCTCCAAAGTCCCGACTTCCCCAGACGACCCCGGTCCCGTTCAAATGTTAGGTCAGCCCCTACGCCCAAAATTCTAATTCTAATTGGGCGGTTGGGCCTAAATGCCTAATATGGAGCGATATCTTACGGAGTTGGGTTTGCATCCCAGCTGGGCTGCATTATTATATTTGGGGGGGAGGGGGGCAAAAAATTGTAATAGTAGTATTTTATTAAAAAAAAAAAATTGGTGGGGGGGGCAATGGCCCCCTTACCCTTAGCAGTAGTTCCGCCCCTGATCCGGACTAGTAGTTTATACCACCGACTAAGTCTATCTATTTTTTTGTGCCCCAAATCCCATTTCCTTAACATGTTTTAACACCTTTTTTTGTACACGAATGCAAATGAAATGTAATGTATTTGTACGTGGTGGGTAATTAATTTCCTGGTATATTTGACTTTATTGGCATTATTCTTGTAAATAATAATGTACTCCATGTCTCCATGCATGGTATAGTTGGTAGTTTCCATGCTACATAACTACATTGCATTAGACTATTAGAGTAATAAAAGGGCTTTTCTCTTTATACGTGCACCACTCAAGACATGTTTGATGCATGCTAAGATGGAAAATAATACCCATACATACTTTAAAAAATGATAAATCATACTGTAAAGATCGTATTCTTCCGTCTCCGGCTCAGGTCTTTCTACACACTCTCACACACCACTTTAGGGGAGGCTTTGCACAACTCTAAGTTTTTATCTCAACCACTAAGTCCCTCTCAGTTCTCACACAAAGGGAAAGAGAAGGAGAGCACTGCTCTCTGGAAGGGCTATTCTCGCAGGCTGAGTCTCACAAGGAAGAAGCAAAGACTATTAATAGGCTGTCAAGGAAGTCACGGGTGAGGTCAATACAAAAGACACTCACATGCATCTTAGACAAAGGAAAGTCACAAGCATAGGCCAAGACAAGTGAAGTATGCAGCGGACAGAACACAGAGGGGCCAGCCAAGTGGGTAAGTCAACCCTCAAATAGGTATGTTATTGATCAGATAAAATACCAAGGTAAAGGTACCAAAGTGGGAGTAAAACAATAGGGTGCAAGCCTCAACAAATAAAGTGGAAGGGAGGCCTTGGTAGGACCAATACCTCCAACACATACAAACTTTCCCTATGTCTTTTATCTGTTAATTGACTTAATTCTATATAGCATATACGACTTTTTTAAATAATTTCAGAAATAAAATAGTTGGGGAAAGGGTATTCAATGCGTAGTAGTATACTCGTATGTATGCGATATAGAATATAATATGACAATTCTATCCTTTGCTAAAATCATGAAAATAGAACAGGTAATTGATTCCACTAAAAAGTTAAGCAATGAATTTAAGATGGAGAGAATGCAAAATTGTGAGAAAATTGTTTTCTAATTTCTGCAGTATAATATTGCAAGTAATGAACGCAGCCACGCTATAAACACAAAGCAAACTATTCTTTTGCCTTTTACTAAAGAATACCACATGTGTTTGTAGCAATTAGTGGCATACGCCCATTTTTGGAGGGTCTCCTTAATAAAGGAGCCCAAAAAAACAAACAAATATATATTGCAAGTAATGATTGAAACTCTTTTTCCTCATTAATTGGGAAGGTGCTATTTACGGGCAAAATACAAAACTTTGAATAAGCGACGTGCATCCCTTGGATGTATTGAGGAATACACCGGCAGTGGCGGATTTAGAGCTTAATTTTTAAGCATTCAATGTCGTTACAATTAAAATTTAAAGAAGAATAAATATATCTACATTAAATTTAAATTATATACTTGCATGTTTTTTTTATTGTGGATGTTCAAATGAACACTAGAACTATATAAGGTCTGTCACTGTACACCGGAAACGTTGGCAATGTGTGAGGTTGATGCACGTGTGACGTCGGCATGATATGATGTAAGCCCCTGAGATCTGGTCCAGTGATGTTCTTTGCAAAGGCACGGTGACACATTAATATTTCAATTTGAGATATGATAGGGATGAGAATGGGGCGAGTTGGGAGCGGGGGCTCAATTGAATCATTGTGAACCAGTTTACAAGTATGAACTATTATTGTTAACTATTGAGAAAAATCCGGACTTTCCCGCTTACTGAAGTTAAGATAGGCATTTAGGAATTAAGGTAGAAATTGGAGCACACGAGTATAATTCTCCAATATGAAGATTTTTCCACTATACAAAAGAATAGTAGGATACAATAATGTGTTTACAAAATTGACTCACACTATGGTGGTTCACTGAAACTTGAGTATGTGAACTTCCCAAGCTGTCACTCTTCTCTCGAAGAGGTTCTCTAACTCTCTAGAATTCCCAACAGTGGGATACAATAATGTGTTTATCTTAACTCTACGAAGTGGGAAAGTCCGGATTTTTTCCAACCCTTAACATTTTTAGTATAAAAATTACTTCAAATAGGACTAAAAAACTCAAAATATGACTTGCTAGGTTTTTTATTCCAAAATAGGACCACGGTGGTCCTATTGGAAACATACCCATTTCTTTCTTCCATTTTCACCCCTCCTTTAAATATTAGTAAAAGATAGCTAAAAGTCATAATTAAATGTTTAATTCATAATAAATCCGAAAAAAATTCAATAATTCGTAGAAAAATAAAAAAAAAATTATGGCATATTTCTCTTTGACAATGCCAACATTTTTTTCTGCCATCTTAAATCATTCTGAATTATGCCAAAAATATGGAATTCATAATAAATTTGGCATTTTTTCCCCAAATGACTAGAGGTGGTGGTGCTGGGGCGGCAGAGGCGGCGGTGACAAAAAAATTGATTTTTATTTTTTTTTATTATTATTTTTTTTTAATTTTTTTTAAATTTATTATTATTCAAAATATTTTTATTAATTTTTTGGTATATTTTACGAATTTTTATTATTTTTTATTATTTTATTATGAATGAAAACATTTTAATAGGTATAAGGGTATATTTGTCCAAGACACACATTCCCTATGGAAACATAGTTTATTTTTTGTCTTATTTGTGCAAAGTGAATGACTTTAGTCCTATTTTGATAATTAACTCTTTTTAGTATGGATCATTAGTATCAATTCCATATTAGATGCATTTCTCATGTGGGTTAGAGTAAAAACAGTAAAATACATTGGTGAAAGAGATCAAAATTGCAGGGGAAATATACATTGCACTTTCCACAATTGTGGCTAAGGGGGGCCAAATACTTTGTCAATAGTATGGGAAAACGCAACAAGGCAATGAATGGGCATGAAAGTCGGGCCAAAACATAAATTTTGGAGCAAAACAACAAAAACCCAACGGATACTGCCACCGCTAGCTGCCATTCAGACAAGATGTGCGGCCTTCGAAAAGAGCCCCCACAAGTAGTCCAATTTGGTAGGATGCTTCACAAACTGAAAAGAAATCTGTGAGTAGTAACAGTGTACCACCGGTCTATTTACACGTCCAATCTTCCTATTTTGAAGTAGGCCCCAGATACTGGAGTACTATCTCCTTATTAAATTGATTTGTAAATTCAACATATTTTGACGTATATCCAAATCTGCTCTGTCAACGGAAGAGGCACGGAGTAGACAGAGGAGGTTGATGTCTCTCCGTCTACTGCGTGCCTCCGTTTGTTCGAATGTCAAAGCAGGGAGTTAGGAAGCTATTGAGTTCGAGAAATTCATTGGTAAAGTTGACATTTTTTGGCGAGGATCTAAATCTGCTCTATTGACGGAGGAGATCGATGCCTCTCCATCTACACCGCGCCTCTGTTTGTACGAATGTCAAAGCAGGGAGTTAGGAAGCTATTAAGTTCGAGAAATTAATTTGTAAAATCAACATTTTTTGGTGATGATCTAAGTCTGCTTTATCGAGGAGGTCGATGCCTCTCCATCTACCTCGTGCCTCTATCTGTACCAATGTCAAAGCAGGGAGTTAGGAAGATGTTGAGTTCGAGCCCAGCAAAAAGTCGGGAGAATAGATTAGTTTCTAGGGGCATTAAAATCAATTTATACATTATCAATCACTTTTTATCCAAAAGCCGGGAGAATGGATTTATTCTACTTTTTTCTTCCCAAAAGCCGAAAGTTTCATTTTTCAATTTTTCTACTTGTATATTTTAACCTCATTTAGGGAATAATATTGTAGACTTCTTTCCCTCGTGAACTTATTTGTGTTGTTATTCCAAATAGAATTAGTATTTATGACTTAAAACATAAATTTAACAATAACACTTGAATATTCAATACATTTTTTCTTAAATGCTGGATCAGTGGGAGGCTGGGAGCTCTGTATGGGCTTGAAAATTTGTTTGTGCCAACAACTTTTCAACATGCTCTCCATGATATCGGGAATATATAATAAGAAATAATTACATTTATATAACTAAAATAAGAATTGTTTACAAAAATGTGATTAGTGACTAGAGTAGTAAGGAAATTATAGTAACTTATGTTCAATTTTTAAACTTAAGTTACCATGACACAACATTGTAGTAACTATTAATCATATTTGTGCTAATAAATTTTATTTTAATAATATTTTTGAAAAAAACTCATACTCCGTATAATAATGATGAAGCTCAAATGAGAGTACATATGAGATTATGATTCCGTGCTCCGATATCTACAACTACGTAAAAACCCCGGTGAAGGGAGAAAATAATGTTAATGAGACCTTAAATAGATGCATGTCTTTTACATGGCTCATAGCCTCATACATGATGGTTCTGAAGTTGAAGAAGTCTTGCATATGCACCTTCTGGCCGCGTGATAAGCTCCGAATGACTTCCGTTCTCGACTACACGACCGTCTTGCACAACTCCAATATAATCAACGTTCCTAATCGTTGACAGCCTATGGGCAACAAGAACGGTCGTCCTACCTCTCATCAGCCTCTCAAGGGCTTCTTGTACGACACACTCAGACTCTGCATCTAGGGCACTCGTTGCCTCATCCAATAAAAGTATAGTCGGATCCTTGAGAACTGCTCGGGCGATGGCAATCCGCTGTTTTTGGCCACCCGAGAGTTGGACCCCTCTTTCACCTACTTGAGTTCTGTATCCTTCGGGCAGCGTAGTTATGAATGTGTGCATGTTTGCCTGCAAGGCGGCTTCCATCACCTCTCCTTCCGTTGCTCCTTCTTTACCATAAGATATGTTCTCTAAAATGCTAGCTGCGAAAAGTGCCGGCTCTTGTTGGACCAAACCAATCTTTAGTCTAAGTGACTTCAAGTTCAATCTCTTTATATCTCTCCCATCAATCATGACTTTTCCAACCGTAGGATCATAGAACCGTTCTATTAGAGCAATGATCGAACTCTTACCTGAACCGCTAGCCCCAACGAGGGCTTGACTTTGACCGGCACGGATCTTGAGGTTCAAGTCCTTGAAAACACACACATCAGGGCGTGATGGGTATGAAAAGTCTATGTGGCGCAGCTCGATATCGCCTCGGATTGACTCAACTGGACCCGCATCAGGATCATTAGGGTCTATCATGGTACGGCGGTCGAGGATGGAAAACACGGAGGCAACAGACTCACCTCCCCTAACTATCTCGGGAGCCAGGCTGACCGTCTCAGCGACCGAGTAGGCAGTCACGACAAGGACTACAAAGACTTTGATGACCTTTGAGAATGTAGATAAGCCTTTGTCAACGAGGTGAACCCCGTACCACAGAATCAAAGCTTGAGAGGAGTAAAGGGCGAGCTGGGAGAGACCAAATAAGAGTCCTGACAATTGGCTGCGCCCTAGGCTTTGTCTTTGTGGAACTTTGAGTTGGTGAGCAAACAAAGAGAGTATCTTCTCTTGGGCATTGAAGGCTGCAACGGTCCGGATGTTGCTTACCCCTTCCCCTGCAATCATACTCGTCTTTGCATGTGCTTTTGCCGTATCTCCGGCAAACCCTTTGAGCGACAGTTGCTGTGACATGGAAAAATAGCCAAAAAATGTCAGACTAAGCAGAAATTATATAATTCGTATTTCATATCCACAACTGCATTCTTGTAGTCCTTTGACTATTAAGTCAATGATACTTTTGGCATAAACGTTTCTACTTTTAGTTATCTAACTATTGTTACAAAACTCTTCACTTAAAACGTAGTAAATCAGGGTAACATAATATAGATGAATCAAGGTAAACCTAGATGCATGAAAAAGTTTTTCAAGTATTATAAGGTTTAACTTAGTTGGATGTAATAAAAAGTTATTTAGATGAATGTTTTCTAAATCAATTTATTTACCCTGACAATTTAACTTTGAGAACCTCAGACACCCAAATTTTAGTCTTTTTAAAGAACTAGGGTTCTTTCGAAAACCTAGACTATTGCCATCATAATTCTTCCTATACATGATATTCATCAACTAAATATAGAAATAGCGTACATTCACCTTGAACAAAATGGACTATAGTGTTGGACAACAATTGTATGGTTTTATTACTTATTTGATTACCCATTCTATTTTCTATCGAATACAAAATTAATTGAGCCTTAGGCTGTTTTTAATAGGACTGAATTCAATCCCAGAAATAAAATTAGATCAGACTAAAACAAACCAAACAATGACCAGATTAGACCCAAAAAAATTCAATCCAATTAAAAATATCCTTAATTGAAGTGAGCAATGCAATAACAGTGCAAAAACTACTAACTTACTAAGATTTTACTTTACAAAACAAGAGAGAGATATGAAATTTCACCTTTTATTTGAATATCATATCTTTTACCATATCAAAGAATAAATTTTTCCATTTTATAAAGCTCAATTTTCTTTACGAAAAGTTGTAAAGGTTAAACTGGATAAAGAGAAGTAGTTAAAAGCATCTCTAAAGCTCTTAGGTCCAATACTTTGGGTTCTTACGTCCAACTCAGACTCGGCGTTTGATTTACTTGACTATTTTTTTAATGTCGACATAAGACATATCCAAATTAGTTTAAGGTTATGTTTCTAAATAAACTTTAAACTCATTTTTTCTCTTGTGCACCTAATTTCATCATACATACTGCCTTCGTCCTTTATAATTTATTACTTTGCCAAGCTTGACCAATATGAAGAATAATAAAGTAAAAAAATTGTTATTAAAATTTGTACGGGAGAGTGAGAAATAACAGAAACTACAAATTAATTAATTAATTAACTAAAAGTCTAAATGAATAAGTTTTTGGGACAATCTAAAAAGAAAAGATGACAAAGTTATAGTGGATTGTTTTTCCATAAAATAAAAGGTTACGCCTAAATATTTACACTTTTCCAAATGATGTACTACTTCCGTTCTTTTTTAGTTGCAACATTGGTTAATTTTGTAGTATTCATATACTCTACTTTGACTACATTTTATTTATTAATGTATTATAAATTAAATTTTTGAAAAATACTATTAAATTTTTCTCATTTTAAATTTTCAAAATATGAAACTTTTAATTTTTTTACTCATAAGAAATGAATGATATTAATGAACAAATTTTTGTGTTCGAAAACGTGAAAAGTAGAGTACTGCAACAACTAAAAGAGAGCGGAAGAAGTACATTAATGATCAAATTTGTGCTCTTTCATTCTTCTCTTTTACATTTATACTTCTTCTACCATATTCACTACCACGATCCTTACTATTTCATCTTTAAACTCTACTAATATAATGTCGTAAATATCTGAATACACAAGGAAAAGTCGCAACCAAATCATACATAGACGTGATACGTGTCACGGGTAAAGAAATTGTGGCAAAGGAAGATTGGTGTTAGGTGTAGCTCAATGAGTGACCACTCACCCCCAAGTTTCTCCTTAGTGAGAGGACTTGGGTTCAATTCCCCCATCTAGGAGAGATGAGGGATGTCTTACTCCTCTTGATTCTCTCTGCCTTCACGGACTAACTCAGCGGCGGGAAGAGAGAATATGATAATGGGGGTAACGCGTTTGTGTGGTGGGAGCAGCAGCTTGGAAGGAGGCATGTGATGTAAGTTCTACTGGATTCGTCCTTTATAATCAGTACCGACAAATATGACTGTGATCAAATTTGAATTTACCTATGCAAGGGCTGATGATAAAAATAAAAAATAGAAATATGTGGCAAAATTAATTGAAGACATTGAAAACAAGACATCAACCAAAAGAGGCAAAAGCAGGCATTTTCCTCTTGCCTCGAAAAAATCATGTTGTTTTGGAAGTTGGGCGTACTGTATATTGTCAGGGAACGGTAAAAAAGACCATTGCAGGAACAGTGGGCAAAAGTAGTCAGGAGCCCTACGATTACAATGGGCTGTTGGAAAGCTGTTAATAGAGTCAAAGGCAATGTTTGTCAGTGGCATCGAAATCAATGGCAGCTTTGTACAATGTTAAACTCTTCACCCCACTTTATTTTGTCCCTTTTCACCGCCAAAAATAGGTTTGGGCATTTCTGTTGAGTTTCACCCAACCCAAATGCAAAGGAATACACCAAAAAGAACCATATGCAATTGCTTTTGATTAAACGAATTTGATACAAAATACTACGGAGTACGTAATATTGTTTCAAATAGTATTAAACTGAACAGCAAATCGAAAAGAAAAAACAGAACCCAATTGAAATACTTAAACAAATAAATAATAAAGCAGTCATATTTAGATATAACTTAAAGCAGTCATATTTAGATACTCAGTTTGCACATTATTTACATATTTAGATTAATAAGATTTTATATCTTAAAACATTAAAATCTAGATGTATGCTTTTTTATTCACTTAGTTTATCTTGATTTAATGATGATACATACATGACTATTTGAGCTATTTCTTGTTGAATTTGTAAAGTTAATAAGTTAAACCCTTGGTTGAATCAGTTGAGAAACTAATATTAGTTTAATAATTTATTGTATTACAGTATTAATAATTTTAGGCCCGGGACCGGTTCGGTTCCTAGGCAAAATTAGTGCTGGACTCGGGCCGGGCGGCCCGGCCCGGAACCGGCCCGGCCCGGTTACTGTTTGGCCCGGCCCGGCCCGGGGCCCGGTGGGTCCCTCGTTTCGGTTCGGCCCGGCCCGGCTGCTGGGCGGTTCGGGCCCGGGCCCAGGTTTTGGTGAACCGGCCCGGCCGGTTCGGGCCCGGTTCGGGCCCGGTTCGGGCCGGATTTTAATTTTTTTTTTTTTTTTTTTGAAATTTTTTTAAGTTTTAGGTTGGATTAGGTATTTTGGGCCATTTGAGGTGGTTTGGGATGGTTTGGGGTTGAGGGGGAGGGGTAGGGGATTAAATAGGAGAACAAAAAAAAAAAAAAAAATTATTGGGCCGGTTCGGCCCGGCCCGGCCCGGTTTGGCCCGGAACCGGGACCGGAACCGGCCACCGGCGGTTCGGGCTCGGGTCTTGACATATTGATCAGCCTGCGTTGACCATGTTGTACTCGCCCCAGTTGACCTTGAAGTTACACATGCCTACGTGGGAACTTCCAGTATTCTCTAGAAGCTTCATAGTCTGTTAGTCGTTCAGTTAGTTAGAAGTAGTTTCTGATATTTATCAGCTGTATACTATAAATAGCTAGCTGTACGCTTACTTTTGTAAGTAGATCATTTTCTGAATAAAATTTGCCAAGTTCTTCTTCTTCTCTTGTTCATACGAACTGTTCTTCTTTCATATTGAAAAGATAGATTTCAGATTTTTAAACTCCTCATGGTATCAGAGCATTGAGTTGACAGAAATCAGTTAGCAATCATGCCAAAATCAGCAATGGAAGATATATCAAGCCCTTACTACATTGGATCTGGCGACAATCCAAATGCAGTTCTTGTCAATCCTCAACTCAATGGAAATAATTTCCATTCATGGAGTAAATCCATGAAGATAGCGCTTGGTGCGAAGAATAAAATGAAGCTGGTCAATGGAACAATCACTAAACCGGATGAAAAGGATGAAATCTTCGAAATCTGGGAAAGAGGTGACCTAATGGTTCAATCCTGGATTCTGAACTCATGTACGAAGGAAATTGCTCAGTGCATCTTATATGAGGAAACTGCTGCTAAGATGTGGTCTACTTTAAATGAAAGATTCTCTCAGGGTAATCTCCCTAGAATTTTTGATCTACAAAAACAAATTTATGCTACTGTCCAGGGTAATTTGAGTGTAACAGATTATTACAATAAACTTGATACTCTGTGGAGAGAACTAAGTCAATATAATCCGGTGGTTGGATGTACGTGTGGTGCTGTTAAGACTTGCAAGTGTGAATTTCTGAAAACCTTGCAAGAAAGAGAAGAGAGAGATAGATCAATGAAATTTCTGATGAGTCTAAATGATGTTTTCACTGGCATAAGAGGACAAATATTGGTTATTAAACCTTTTCCTCCATTGAATCAAGTCTTTAGTTATGTCCTACAAGATGAGATGCAAAGAAACCTAGGTAATGGTCTGAATGTAGAACCTATGGTAATGATGAGTGATGGTCAACAATCTGAAGAAGAACAATTCAATCATGCTGCTAACTATGGTCAGAACAGAGGTTTTAGGCCATATAATCAGTCTCAGAAGAAGGAAAACAAACTGGTCTGTACTCATTGTGGTTTCACAAATCATACTGTGGACAAATGCTATAAATTGCATGGTTATCCACCAGGATACAAGTCAAAGGCAAAACAGAATTATACTGGTTCTACTGGTGGAAATTTTTCTGGCCAAAATAGAGCTTACAACACTCAAATGGAAGTGATTCCTCAGGCAGTTGATGATAAGACAGCTTCCAATGTGACTCAGGAGCAATATCAACACTTGCTTAGTCTAATCCAAAATCTGGCACAATCCCAAAACAATCATCTTACACCTTTATCCTCAAATCAGGCTTCCAGTTCAGGTAATATTTCCAAATTCTGTACTTTCATCACAAGAGCCAACCTTGTTTTACCATCTTGTCAGTCCTGGATTCTTGATACTGGAGCCACTGATCATATGATCAGTGATATTT